AGTTATAGACGACATTTTGGGTTTGCTCAACAAGTCTACTTATTTTACAACCCTAGATGCGAGAGCAGGATTCTGGTGTATTCCAATGTCACCAGATGCTAGGAAAAAGAGCGCATTTTGCTCACATATTGGAGCGTACGAGTTTACGGTTATGCCCTATAGTTTAAAGAACTCACCAAGCATGTACATACTCCTCATGGATCAGGTCTTAAGTGGCATGCAGAAGTTTGCCTTGGCTTACATTGACGATAGCTGTGCCACATCAGTCCTGATTAGTGTAGCAGTAGTGGGCAGGCTGATCAGGAATTATAGTTTAAGTAAATAAATAGAGACATTTTCTTTGATCATCTGATATTAATGTACTCCCTGAAGATCTACGTCAGGAGGCGTGGACCCGTACATGATTTGACCATTGTGATAACATATGAGGACGGAAATGAGCGCACACACAGGTTGCAAGGAGTGCACTTTGCCATTTTTTTTCCAGCCACCATGGGCCGAGCCAGATTCGGGAGTAGACACTGAGCCGGGGTCTGATGAGGAAGGAGAGGCCGAAGCACAACAATAAAATAAAACACTACAGAGGCCAGGTTTCACTGATTCCCTGTTGTATTTAAAGAATGAAAACTCTCTAGACCAACCGGCACTAGAAGCCCAGTGGCAGTTGAGACGCTAGAACCAGTTAACAAAGTAATTAGAGATGAAGAACACAACACTATTCGGAATGCCATTGATGTATTTTTGACATTGTTGTAGTATCACAATAAAGACAGTGTAGACTAGAATTGTCACCAGCCATTTTATTATACAAGTAACAGAGTCACGTGAGAAGTATGCAGCAAGCAAGACATCATCATCATCACCACCACTATCAACACGACTATCTTTATCGTCTATAATCTTCAAATCGACTCCTCCTGTAGCAAACCTAAGAACGAACCTGGGTGTGACATCAACGTACGCCACAAAGAAGAGAGCTGTGCTACAACACTCCAAATTGTAGTATGTCATAGGTGGGGTAAGAGTGGGCACATTGCCCGTTTTTGTAAAACAAATTTTTCACAGCCCAACACGAGACCAAATGTGGTAAATAACCAACAGAATAAAGGAAAAACCCAAGGAGTTTACTGATAGATTGACATAAAATATTTCCTCTTTAAATCTTAGTAGAATACCAATCCATTTGAAACGTGCAAAGGAAACTGATTTTAGGCTATGAACCAAGAATTGGATAAATGGAGCATCTTAAAAAGGATCGAATAGTTGTTTGACCTTGTGTAGCAGGGTCACTACCCATTCTGCATTTTAGTGTCGTGCTGTCTGCACCGCAAGGCCCATCATGGCCTTCACCCTTGTTTTTAAAACTTTTTCACTGAGCTTAGCAAGCGACTAAAACTACCTAGGTCCCTGTCCTTGCTTCCCACGATAATTCCAGTCTTCTGTCTAGACATCACGTGACTCTCCCCGTCCAGCACAAAACAATAAGTTGTTTTTCACATTGTTGGAATACTTCCACTGACCCGGCTAGCTAAAGTCGCTGCAGACTCTGAAAAACAATGTGGCTGGGAGGTCGCGGGAGCAGGCTAGTAGCACCTTTATAAGCGACTGCCCGGAACCCATAGAGAAAAACAAGCACCGGCCAGCTGAACAGGGAAGGAAGTCAGGCTTGAGGGCAGGTTGATTAGAAAGTATAGATAAGAAGATAGATAAAGTTATTCCCGTTAATTACACGAAATAGATGTATTCCATCAGAATCTCCGTCAGAAACCGTGGACCAGTCCAAGAAGTTACGATTGTTTTTACACATGAAAACGGACTAGCACGCGTATACAACTTCACAGTAAGGCTATTTGACATCTATTTTAACCGACCATGGGCCCAGCCGGATTCGGGAGTGGATACTGACTCGGGGTCAGAAGAAGGAGAAGAAGAAGAAGCAGGAGCACAATAGACTAAAACTACACATAGGCCGGACTTCCTGGAGATCCCCTGTTATATTTTAGAAGAAGAAAGATGAAAACTTTTTAGACCAACCTGCACTAGGAGCCCGGTGGCAGTTACAGACACTAGAACCAGTTAACACAACGCGAACTTAAGAGTATGTAACCATAGGGAGAACACAGCGCTATTCAAAATATTGTTGATATTGTTCGTGTCATTTCTGAAGTGTCACAATAAAGACAGTGTAGACAAGAACAGTTGTTTCCAGACACATTATTATACAACCATCTGAGTAACGTGAGAAGCATGCAGTAAGCGAGACACTCTCATTATTGTAACCATTATCGACACTACAACTTTTATTCTCGTCTTTAACATCATCATCGGCTACCCTTGTGGCAAATTTAAATTCGAACCTGGGTGTGACCTAAAAATAGGCAGTAAAGGAGGCAGCTGTGTCACACTTGTTTGGAATCTTCTTTCAAGTAGCACTTCTTGTGCATGTTAAGGGAAGAAATATAAAATTAGGACACACAAAAAGTTCGATACTGAGAATATCTAAACAAGACACAGTAAACACCAAAGTTTATTGCATGAATTTACTGTTACTCTTGAAAGACGGTTTTTATGGGACCATCCCCACTGAGTCACCAGAGTTGATAGAACTAACAGCTTCAGCTCCTATGCATAATATGCATGCTGAGCTCACTCTAGGCCTGATGGATACCTTGATGAGGAGAGCTCCACATGCTAACCTTTGCTTCAATGAAGCCAAGACGAAGGCTACCCCAACAAAAATTCACTTTGGTCTGGCTAGATTCACTTCCAAATCACCAGCTGCAGCAACTTGTTCATTTAGTGTCAGGCAATGAGGGTTAGGCAGAGAACATCTGAAACAGAGCAAGCTAATGAGAGGGTGACTTTACAGAAAAACGATAAAGCTTACAGAAGATGCTTAGAAAAAGTAGCTGAAGACTGCAGTAGCTCACACAGGGCTAGTACCAGTACTTACAGCTGAAACTTTTGATGATTTGATAGTTAAGTCCAGGATTAACTTAGAAGTAATAATTCATGTTTATCAAATGTAATACTGCCACATGTTTGGCATCAAGATGGCTACGACTGTTTACTTGTGAGATAGTGAGGTGTGGGGGGACCACACAAACAAAAGTGTAGGAAAGTTTTTGATTTGTGGTACTGGAGAAAACATGATGAGCTCTCAGGTGACTTTTGTAGTATGAATGTTAAGCAATTTTTTGTGGACTTCGCACAGGGGAATTTATAAGTTTTGTAAAATTATATTCACTTGCGGCTTCCCGCTCCATTAGCATATCCAACATGAATAAGGTGGTTATTAATATTGGTTGCAAGAGCTGTTGAGTTGACACTGTTTCACAGGCTGTCATTTCGTGAGTGAGCAGAGTTTCTGTACTGGCAAATTTCACAAATACTGAAAGTACACCTCATTTCGCTATATGCTGTAATTTGTTTCATACTGCAACACATCATTTATCGCTTACCAAACTTCACTTTCGCCTGTTTTCAACCACAAACGATAAAAGTTAGAGAACGAACAAGAAACGGAGATGTATTTTTTAAATGATTTGGCTACGAAATAGGCGGAGATCACCGATCCTCAGTATGCTTTCTTAATGGGTTAAAATATGAAATTTGTGAGAATCTACAGAAATTGGCACATGCAGTGAATTCTACCATAGCAGAAAAAGGGGCTGAGAAGATTTCCCCTCAGAACAGGTCCAGTCTTTGCACAACAACTGTCAGGGTCCTGTGTGGATTCAAGATGATTGTGTATGATGATGGTGAATAGTGAACGTATGATGGAACTAAAGTGATGGAGAATTGGGTTTTCCCTGAGAGGGGTGTAGGAGTTGATCAGAGAGTTGGAGAGAGACAAGCGGTGTAGGAGTTGATCAGAGAGTTGGAGAGAGACAAGCGGTGTAGGAGTTGATCAGAGAGTTGGAGAGAGACCAGCGGTGTAGGAGTTGAACAGAGAGTTGGAGAGAGACAAGCGGTGTAGGAGTTGAACAGAGAGTTGGAGAGAGACAAGTGGTGTAGGAGTTGATCAGAGTTGGAGTGTCAAGCGGTGTAGGAGTTGATCAGAGAGTTGGAGAGAGACAGACTTGGAGACAAGATGGGGCAGTTTTGAGCATTATATGTTTTCTATGTTTGACTGGTATTAGTGACACGTAGCTTCGTGTTAATGTGTTGGCCTGACGGTAGGATAATTCATGTGTTAGTGGGTATTAAGTTATACATGTATTCTATGTTTTAGTAAAAAGTAGGTTATGGTAATTAATTATACTAGTACCCACTGATGTATTTAGCCATGTGGTAGCAGGTAGTTTGTGACATAGTCTGTCCGCTTACATTGGCCATAGCCGTGCAGTAGCACAGCAGTTCTGGTATAATTTACCAAGACAAATAAAACAGCTTGAATCAGAGGACTGTTGGTTCCAGCCCAGGTAATAACTGGAACAACTAGGAATGGCCTTGGAGTGAGTGGCGATTGTAAAGCCCCTTACGGTCAGTTGTGGTAGTGCCGGGGAAGCCCCTCTGGGTAAACTGTATATTTATGTTTAAGTATATTAAAACATGTATTCTGAAGAATTCTGCTGCTGCATTCACTTTTCTAACGGTCGGCTCTCACATTAATTTCCAATCACCAATAGCAGCAGTAATCAACCTGCTCTAAAGTCCTGCTCAATAATTTGATTACCAGTTATTAAATAAACATATTATAAGTGCCCTGCACTCACATAACAACATATAAGTATACATAAATACCCAAAAAAATCTCACACACAATCTCAGATACACAGACATGGGAAACTTACAACAAGTATTCCATGATGCTAACAATTCCACAAGTCCACAGACGACACATGACATGTTGCAAATTGACTCAACTTCATTAAAGACTTCACACACCACGCAGAAGACCAGTACCACTGGCAGAAGCGTGTCCAACTATCTCAGCACCTTGATCAGCTTCAAGTCTGGCAGTGATGTCAGAATGCAACTCCCTGTGACCTAGTTCATTACCACTCATCCAGAAAGTCAAAGCCTGTAACTGGGATGTCACTGTCTCTCTTGTTCTGGGGACAAAGCAATGATGAATGACATGTAAAAGAGCCATTCATTATCATCATCCTACTGTGTGAGTATATTTTATCTGGACTTGCCGTCTATTCCTTTATTTCCTTCCATCCTGAAATCCTTTCTTAATCATGGACGGAATCCAATCCAGCACCTTTGGCCTTTCTCATCAACGTGTGTTGTAGGGTTTCTCTCGGACATCCTCATTTCCTCAATCCATCTGCTTTCCATTTCACTGCCTCTTCGGGGATTCTTTTTGTTTAAGGGTTTCTATTGGACATCCTCATTTCCTCAATCCATTTTCTTTCCATTTCACTGCCTGTTCGGTGATTCTTTTTTCTCAGGATGTATCCAATGAAGTGTCATATAATAGTTGATACCAGTTTTTCCCTAGACATTTTCATCTCTCTCTCTCTCTCTCTCTCTCTCTCTCTCTTTTTTTAAAAAAAATCTTTATTGAATTTATCATCCCATTTAATGTTCAGTTTTTTTTTGTATTCATTAATCTAAGCAGAGCTTTATCTACACAAAATAAGTCCCAAAATAACAACTGCCCCAGGGGTGGGATATGCATGGTTTTTATATTCTGGACCAGCAGTTCCAAACTAGTGTGCCAGGGAGCCCCTTCTGCAGGATCCAAGGGCTCCACAGCTGCTCCCCAAAAATATGGCCAAGTTCTGACAATATGCGTGTTTGTGATCACTGAGAATAAATTATTATGTTAACTTTCAAAGTTTTATAAGTATAATTTTATTGCATGGACTATCTTTAGTTCAAATTCCCCTACTATATTTCCCCTCTTACTCCACTCTTTCTAAAACACCATTAACTTGTAAGACATAGGGTCCGGTATGGCTAAGAAGCTTCACCAAAAAAACATTCTAAAAAAGGCACTGTAGGTCAAAATAGTGGAAACCCCAGTCACTTCAACATCTTACCATTTTTGAAATTTTTGAAAATTGTCTGGCACCCATTTGTAAATCTTTTCATGTTGTATAAAAATCAATTTTTCGTTAAATACTGGCATGAAAAAGCTAACCACTGCTATGTTGAATGAATGCAAAATGAATGAAAGATTCTGCTAAGACTGCCAGATTTATTTAATATACACTGACCAAAACACACAAAGACACGTGATATGATGGTGAAATAAACAGTAATACAGAATGCACTGTTTAGGATTGAAAGAACTGAGGTTAGGCTAACCTCATAACTGAAATGATAAGAAACAAACCCTGCTTCTAGTGGGGACAATGTGGACCAGTCTAGAAAAGACACACACCCTGCTTCTAGTGGGGACAATGTGGACCAGTCTAGAAAAGACACAAACCCTGCTTCTAGTGGGGACAATGTGGACCAGTCTAGAAAAGACACACACCCTGCTTCTAGTGGGGACAATGTGGACCAGTCTAGACAAATTGTCCTAACTAATGACAGAGTGACTACCATTGCCTACACCACAGGTTTCTAACCCTCAAATGGGGTTGCACCAGTTTTTTTTCTGTGAGACTGCGGGGTAGTTGTGAGCTTTGAACATTTTCAAACCAGAAAACAACAAATGTCAGGTCCCGCATAGAGGGGAAAAAAAAACCCACTATTTTCGGTGTGTTCTCATTTACTCTATTTAAAAGCCTCTTTATTATCTGGGGTGAGATATCTCTATACAGTGAGGCTGCAACTCAATACAGTTTGAGAGCCACTGGTCTACACAATCTTGAAATATCTAGCAACAAAGTGCATGCCTCAATCAACAGATTGCAGGCTGCACACTACACAGGCAAAAATTAATTATGAACAGGAAATTTTTGAAAATAAACCATCTCCATGGCAACCAGCATATCAGTCTTGAAATCTACAGCCTTCTGTGGGTTTTGGGGTCCCATTGCGGAGAAAACACAAACAGACCCACTGCAAACACAAGCACGTTGCTAAATTGAACCAACAGGGGTTTCTTCATAGTCGGAGTGCATCTGTCCAAGAGGTAAGGAACACACCAACTGCACACAACAAATAAGCCAGTAAAATGGCAAAAATACACGCAAAACCCAGGCCTTGGCACAAAGCAGAAGTGAAAATGGACATTCAACCAGGACTTTCTGCTGGAGCTGACTGCCGGTGAACAAAGAATAATAATATCTACCCTCAATTGTGAGTAGGCAGAGGGGCCTGGATGGTTCTGTGAATAGGGGAAAAGACAGGTAGACATTCAATCAGGCTGTGAACTGACATACAGCGTACTGGCGATCCATTACAGCCAACCTTCCCTGAAGGCAACTGATAAACTAAACTGGCCCCATAAGTATGGGAACTATGGAAGGGGGCGGAGAAAGTACAGATATGTCCAGAGTGCACTGATGTCCATTCTTGATTTGTTCACACCTTAAGGGTACATGCAATGAAATGTGAGACACATTTTTGTGTATATTTTGCCAAGAATAAGATAGAGAGATAATGTCCAGACAGACCTGCAAACACTTGGTGTCACCACCTGGAAAGAGAAGGCCAACCAGAGAGATGAATGGAGGTAGGTGATATCTGCAGAAATGAACCTTGGAATGCTGAAGAAGATGATGTATATCTATGTTGGTGTGTATGTGCATGTATACATATTTGTGAATGAGCCTGTGTGTTGTGTGTGTGTGAATGTTGTATCTAGCAGAGAAACCAATAGGATACTCACCTCTACTTGTGTCGTCACCACAATTTTATCCCCTTCCTTCTCGACTCTCAAGACCTCCTCGCTTTCCTCAGTCTCCAGTTCGGCTGGCAGATCTTTACAGTTGGCTGATGAAAGTTTAATGGGCTGTGGCACAGGGTGCCTGTGATGCACTGGCGACTGGATAACAGACCAAAGAGTTAATTTACTGCAGATTACAGTAAACATGATTCTGATGTAAAAACTCACCTAAAGACTCTGGACTACAAGTTACATCATAACCACTGAATGCCCTAATATAATTTGCAGCAAACATAGTTTATTTACGAGGATTTACTGCTGCTGGATTCACACCTGAACTGTGTCTCACGGAGCTGCTGGATTCACATCTGAACTGTGTTTCACTGAGCTGCTGGATTCACATCTGAACAGTGTCTCACTGAGCTGCTGGATTCACACCTGAACAGTGTTTCACTGAGCTGCTGGATTCACATCTGAACTGTGTCTCACTGAGCTGGTGGATTCACATCTGACTGTGTCTCACTGAGCTGCTGGATTCACATCTGAACTGTGTTTCACTGAGCTGCTGGATTCACATCTGAACTGTGTCTCACTGAGCTGCTGGATTCACATCTGAACTGTGTTTCACTGAGCTGCTGGATTCACATCTGAACTGTGTTTCACTGAGCTGCTGGATTCATATCTGAACTGTGTTTCACTGAGCTGGTGGATTCACACCTGAACTGTGTCTCACTGAGCTGCTGGATTCAAACCTGAACTGTGTTTCACTGAGCTGCTGGATTCACATCTGAACAGTGTCTCACTGAGCTGCTGGATTCACATCTGAACTGTGTTTCACTGAGCTGGTGGATTTACACCTGAACTGTGTTTCACTGAGCTGCTGGATTCACACCTGAACTGTGTTTCACACCTGAACAGTGTTTCACTGAGCTGGTGGATTCACATCTGAACAGTGTTTCACTGAGCTGCTGGATTCACATCTGAACAGTGTCTCACTGAGCTGCTGGATTCACATCTGAACTGTGTCTCACTGAGCTGCTGGATTCACATCTGAACAGTGTCTCACTGAGCTGCTGGATTCACATCTGAACTGTGTCTCACTGAGCTGCTGGATTCACATCTGAACAGTGTCTCACTGAGCTGCTGGATTCACATCTGAACTGTGTCTCACTGAGCTGCTGGATTCACATCTGAACAGTGTCTCACAGAGCTGCTGATTTGCATCTCAACAGTGTCTCACTGAGCCACATCTTAACTGTCTCACTGAGCCACATCTTAACAGTGTCTCACTGAGCCACTGGATGTTAAATATTTCAGTATGCAATTAATTCTAGAGGGGACATTTTTTTTTTTTTAAAGGAGATTAATCTGAGACAAGGTAAATGTGAAGTGTTTGGTATTTTGATATACAAAACAAATCAAATCAATCCAAGCGGGGACACATTTAATCATGATAGTGATTCCCTCGGAGACAAGAGAAATGTGAAGCACTTTACTTTCTGAGCTCTTATGGGTTGCTACCCGTGTGCCATGATGTTGATCCGTTGTTCAAACTTCAACCTTTCTGATAAACAATATAAATCAAATCAATCAACCTAAGAGGGGACAAATTTCATCCCCCACCCCCTCCCCCAATTTTTTTTTTTTTTATTACATTGGTGACAAGATAATGTGAAGTGTTTTGTTTTCTGATACACAATACAAATTAATTTAATGTCGTGATGTGACTAGTTCCCTTCAAAACCGTTTCCATAAAATGCAGATATTCCATTCAGTGAGTCCTCAGTCAACCTCCAATGCAGTTGGAGAAATGTACCATTATTCATTAGGTTCTGACAAGACCATGTAGTAAGGAAGCATCAGTGTTGCTGATTATGTGCCATGCCATACTGCACAGGCACTCATTTTCTTCTACAAATGTGGGTCCTCTACCTACCACTGATCCCCTTCCATGCACCAAATAGTCACTTAACCAACCCACCAAGAGACTAAGACATTGATACTATCTAGTATCCAAGAAAGATGGCTGGATACACACACCAAATTCTATCCTCAAGATTCATTTCATCTCCTCTCTAGAGATGCAGTGTATTATATTAAGATCAAGAACAGGGCACAACAGACTTCGTCAACATATGTTCAACTTTTTCGGTGTAGGAAACACGGAGGAGAAATGCCCTTGCAACTTGGCATGTGCTCCAACCTGGATATAACAGGTGCACAATAAAAATCAAAGTAGGTACATGTGAAACAGTTATGGAAGTCAAGTGGTATGATTATAGAATAGAAATCAAAGTGGGTAATTGTGAAATAGTTATAAAACATAAATCACAGTGGATATAATTGAGTTAATAAATAAAAGTCAAGTGGATAGATGGGGATATGATCACAGAGCAGAAGTCACAGTGGATACACCGGGATATGACTATGGAGCAGAAGTCACAGTGGATACACAGTGATATGATCACGGAGCAGAAGTCACAGTGGATACACCGGGATATGATTATGAAGCAGAAGTCGCAGTGGATTAACAGGGATATGATCACGGAGCAGACGTCACAGTGGATACACCGGGATATGATTATGGAGCAGACGTCACAGTGGATACGATCACGGAGCAGACGTCACAGTGGATACACCGGGATATGATTATGGAACAGACGTCACAGTGGATACACAGGGATATGATCACAGAGCAGAAGTCACAGTGGATACACCGGGATATGATCACGGAGCAGAAGTCACAGTGGATACACCGGGATATGATCATGGAGCATAAATCAGTGGAAACAACAAAAATGTACCTGCATGCCTTTCAGTAGATGTGTTGTATGATCAGGTGTACTCTGAGCCGACCACTCGCTGATGGCAGGCGAAGTCACTGTCCTTGAACTTGTCCGAGCCGGAGAATACGACTGCTCGATCAAACTAATATACTCTCCTTTTGGGGAACAACTCACGTCGCTGCCTCTGTCCATGGCCATGGATTCTGGAGCCGAGGTGACAGGGGAGTCCTGGGTGTTTGAAGACAGATCATCTCCTGTGGGACCCACAAAGTTTGACCATTCAGATTCCATGACCGGATTGCTGAATGCATTGGTTCTGTCATCCATCTCTGGTTCATCGCAGACAATCAGCTTCTGCTCCCCGCTGTCTACGTTCTTGGAGGGCGACTTTTTAAAGCTACCAGTTCGTACAATTTTCTTTGGTGAAGGAGATCTGTTCTTATCTTTTCCATCATACTTCTTGTCTGAAGCTGAGAAAGAATTTGAACCATCTGTGACTCCACCTTGACTAGAAACTCGAGGTTGACATGAGGTGGCAGGATTACCACCATCTAGATTTGCATCATCATCATTTGAAGAATCTGTGGTCACACCCAGCAAAGTCATGGAGTTGGATGGGGTGAGAACCACATTTTGTTCATTCTTTCGGAAGTCATCAACAATGCTGTGGCACCATGAGCTACTGGGCTGAGTAAACTGGGGTTCCGCAACTTTCTGAACTTTGTCATCATCGGTGTCACCCCTAAGTGATTTTGGCTGTGGTTTTGATATGTTCTCTGGTTCCAGGTCCAACAAGGTCAGATCCTGCTGACTCTGCAAACGTCAAAGTGACAATTGATAAGAATGGAAAGGGTAAATAAAATACAAGAAACACAAAGCAGATATCCTCATAGTCCCATAACACTTCTGGTATTGGCTGCTGGTTATTGATCACTTCCTTCCATCTCTGATGGTACGATGAATGACGATTTTTGCGAATGAATTCTATAATCTGTTCTAGATTAGCCTTCCCTCTTCCCCTCTACCAAGCCCTGTGGTGTACGTAGACCCAGTTATCTTAATGAATTGCCCTCAGCTCTAGTCCAACTTCAGGCATTAGTTTTACCCTGACATCTCTTCAGTGTAGCCCCCAAAAAGTCAGTAGTAAAAAGCTGTTTAATATCATCAAGTGCCTGGTGCAGGCATTCATGCATCTTCACAGATCTTGGTCTTTGGTGTTCTGGATCATTTCATTCCACTGATGATATTCCTCCATGCCACTGTCTCAAACCATCCACCGTCATTTCTCTTGGTCTGCCTCTGCCTCTTTTACCAGTGATCTTTCCAGTTGTCAATACGTTTCAATGCTCCTTTTCTCAACACAAGACCCCCCCCCCCCCCCCCCCCCCACCAACAAAAAAAAACTGTTTCCCTTCTCACTGTTGTATATAATGTTCTACTTTCATTAACCATTTCCAGGCAATCTATGTTATTCTGACAGTCCAAGGTATTCACAAAATTTTTCGCAAGAACCACATTTCAGCTGTCAATAAAATTCTTAACTTTTGTAACATCCATCTGTTTATTATACAATTCTACAAAATAAGCCAGCTCTATAAAACTGCCTACATGAACAGGAAATAACTTAAATGGTGCACTAATCATATTCATATATCATTGCTAGATTTTGCTATAAGCTAAATAAGCTGCAGCTTAGGGCCTCATAATCTTCAAAGGCATCAACAAATTCCTTTTTTTTTTCTTCAAAAATGTTATTTTCTCTAAACATATTTTTCAATATATTTTTTTTAATTTGAAAAGCTTACATAATTTATGTGATTTTGCCAACACAATTAATTAAAGATGCAAAAAGTGTGCACAAACAAAGTAGCCACCTAACTGGAAGAAAGATACGAGTAAACACAGGATATCTGAAATTGAAAGCATGAGAGATCTTAATGGAAGAAGATGATACAATAATTAGATGAAATGAATACATAAGAGAGTTACCTGATGAACAGAGAACAGAATAACCAGAATAAAGAAAGTTAGAAGGTCGGCCTATACTAAAGGGAGAAGTTAGCGATGCTATTAAACATTTGAAGAAAGGAAAGTCAGCTGGGCCAGATGAAATTTCGATAGAAGAACTAGAAGTACTGGGGGAATGTGGGGTAGAAATATTAACTGATGAATGAAGAACACTGGGTACATACAAAGTGATATGATGAAATCTGTATTTATTGTGTTACCTAAAAGACCAGGAGCAATTGAGTGTGAAGAATTTCGTACAATCAACTTAATAAATCATGTCACCAAACTACTACTTAAAATAATGATGAGAAGAACAAGAAGAAAAATAAGAATAGAAATGAGTTAAGAGCAGTATGGATTTATGGAAGGTAAAGGAACAAGTAATGCAATATACATATTACGAACACTGATCGAAAGATCAACGGACATACAAAAAGACTTACATTTGTGCTTTATAGCACAAAGTTAAACATAAAGAGATAATAAAACGTTTGAAGACATCAGAATAATCAAAAAAGTTTACTGGAACCAAGTATCAGCAATTAAAGTGGGAAACACATTTTGTACTTTTGAACAGATAAAGCAAGGAGTAAGACAGGGATGTATCTTATCCCCAGACCTTTTTTCTCTACATAGTGAAATAATTTTGAGGGAAATGAAAGAGAATGCCGAAGTACGAGTTGGAGGATACAATATAACCAATTTGCGTTATGCAGACGATACAGTTTTTATAGCTGAAAAAGCAACTGATTTACAACAACTGCTGGATATTGTGGGGATGGAGAGTGCTAAGAAAGGACTTTCCCTGATATTAAGAAAACGGAAGTCATGATTATTTCAAAGATGAAAAAATAACATCACATTGTGATGTCTCAATTGAAGGGAAAAAGCCTTAACCAAGTCAATAAATTCAAATATCGGGGAACAAGCATATCATCATCATCAGGTGTGACAGAGATTAAAATCAGAATAAGTCAAGCGAAGGCAGCATTTCAGAAAATGTAAAATACTGTTTGCTTAGTCACTCTCATTTAATGCCAGAAAGATTTGCTACAATGTTACATAGAATCTGTTCTGCTGTATGGCAGCAAATCTTGGAATGTCAGTGAACAAATAAGAATTTGGAAGCAACACAGATGGTTTCTAAGCAAATGTTATATCTTGAATGGTCAGAAAAACTAACAACGACTGTTTGAAAGCTAATGTAGGTAGATTCTATAAACAACAATAAGAAGGAGACAAACACTGTTCTTTGGCCATGTAATGAGAAGAGAGGCATTAGAAAACATTGTCACAACTGGAAAGATCAGTGGAAAGAGAGGTAGAGGCAGACCAAGAAAGACGATGCTAGATAGGCTGAAACAATGGCATGGAGGGATATCATCTAGAGAGCTGTTCCAGGCAACCAGTAATCGTGATCTGTAGAGATGCATAAAGTGCCTACTCAAACTGGCAGGGCACACTATGATGATCCTTTATTATTTCCATACTTTTTTGTTGTTGTAAATATCCAGTACCATGAGTGCTTGGCTCAGTACTATGGATATCGCAACCCTTCAGCCTTGATTCCAGGACAGATACCGTACTTCTGGGAGAAATGTGGCTTTTCTGCCACGGGCGTAAACCCGGACAACAAGGAGTTTGTCACCCGGTCGTCACGAAGTCAGGTTTACCCAACTACGCTAGCGAGCCGGGCATCCATATATTTAAAAGGTGTATGTATTTTATATATGTATATATTTTACAGTTTTCTGACACCATACATCTCTTACCCTGGACATCCAAGAAAATGGACCAGAATGCTCATCTCTCCACGTCCACAGCTGGAAAGTAAAACATTTTCATGACATTCAAACATTTTACAAACAAATATTTTATTAATACACAGCATTTCTTCTGTGGGTAAACAACTTCAGACACAGAAACACTGGCTATCCTCCGAATAGGGGTCGGTAAAGATGGCGGCCGCAAAATATCCTTTCGAGCCAGTCACGTGTCAACTGCGCACTTCCGGCGAATTTATTTGCGATTCTCTCTAAAGATGGCGGCCGCAAAATATCCTTTCAAACCACTGTCACGTGACCTAATTTGCGGTTCTCCGGCGACTACTGCCACGGGTCCCCCACGCCGCTCATGTGGTGTGGATTGAGGCTAAACTAGATGGCTAGGACCCACGAGCAGCAGCTTCCACATCTCCTGAAGCTTTGCTCGTGAGTCCTAGCCATTTAGTTTAACCCCAATCCACGCCACATGAGCGGCGTGGGGGACTCGCGGCGGTGGCGGTAGTCGCCGGAGAACCGCAAATTAGGTCACGTGACAGTGGCTCGAAAGGATATTTTGCGGCCGCCATCTTTACCGACCGTTATTCGGAGGATAGCCGAAACACTTTTTAAATACGCTTTCTGGGATACTGTTTTAAAAACCCTACTGGACAGAAAGGCTGAGGGTAAGTCAGTAAGAGGCAGACAATGATACAAGTGGACAAAAAGCAGTCAAAGTGAATACTACCATGACAAGAGTCAAAATGTGTTGGAGATCCACTGCAGCCAACCTTCACTGTGGAGGTGGCACCTGACTGATTGATTTCTAGGACACAAGAAATAAAATATTCAGATAAAACATTTGAACCCAGTCCACTTATGTCACAGTCTGTCAAAACCACCCATCCCCATTTTCAGCTATCCTCCGAATAATGGTCCTAAATTATTGAGGCGGAAAATATGCCCTAACAGGGCCTCAGTCACATGTCAATTGTGCACTTCTGTCGTCTTAAATTGCGCACTTCCGGCGACTTTGCCACTGCGGAGAGTATCCTACACGCCGCCTGGATTGGGGCTAAACTAGATGGCTAGGACTCACTAGCAAATAAAATGAAGGAAGCTGCAGGAGATGCGGTAGCTGCTGCTCATGAGTCCCAGCCATTAGTTTAGCCCCAATCTATGCCGCGTGAGCGGCGCTAGGGATACTCTTGGCGGTGGCGGAAGTCGCCGGAAGTGCGCAATTTAAGATGAAGGAAGTGCGCAATTGACATGTGACTGAGGCTCTGAGTATATTTTTCCCCTCAATAATTTAGGACCGTTATTCGGGGGATAGCCCCATTTTCCTAGGTCTCTTTCAATACAAGGTTACTTATTTCTGCTATCTTTGTTAGCATCTTTTCATTCTTCCAGATGAGTGTTCATTGTGCTATAAAGAGGTGCAGGAATCGGCTGGCTAATGGCAAGTGTGATTAGACCCACTCAAGTTAAAATCTTCTGCAAAGAAGGCCTGAGAAACAGGTGCACCACACACCCGTGTGGGTTCCGGGGCCCCGTTATAAGGGAAACAAGAACAGACCCACTGCCTACCCAAAAGCATGTCATAAGAGAGGACTTAGGAGCTTCCTTCGAAGTTGAAGTGCTCTGCCTGAGGGGCAAGGAACCAGCAGTCTGCTTACAAATGTCAGATTTGTCAAACGGATGCACATACAACACTCAGGCTTTAAAACAGGACTGCAGTCCAAAAGTGGATGAACAACCAACACTTTCCGCCAGAGTTTACAGCTGGTGAACACGAAGAAGATTAATATAATACCTTTTGACAAATGAATGTTAAATTTTCTAAACTAGCTAAAAAATAAATGCAGTTGAGTAGCCATTTCCAGTCGTTAACTGTGGATTAGGTGTTGCGAACATGCTTCGTAATGCCGGGGTGTGGGCCTTGCACTGGTTTCGACAGTGGTATCGAGAGCCGACCGTCCAGAAAGCAATGGCAAACTACTAGAAATAAATTTGCCTAGAAAAACAAAAACCACAACAGCCAAAAACTGCTGGGGTTGGTTCTGTCTGCAACGCTCTGTAAAGGATACGCACTTTTTTTTTTTAGCTATTTCCAAGAATGTAGAATAAGAAATCAATCAAGGTAATAACAATAAGGCAGACCATATTAAATAATAATATTAAACACTACTTGGCTCTACTTCAAACGGCACCATAAAATGGCGGCCATAATATGATGTCGTTCGAAAGAGAGCTAAATTGGCCACATTCTGGCCATAAAATATCCAAAAATATCCAAATGGGGCTCAGTTCTATTAAAAATATGGCGGCTCCGTATAACGAAACAAATGCTCTAACAGGGTCTCAGCGATATGTTACTTGCGGACCTGCTTCTGCGAGTGTGCCTCACCGCCGACCGTATCCTCCGTGCGGCGCGGATGGGGACTTAACTAGATGGCTTGGACTCACGAGCAGCAGCTACCGCATTTCCTGCAACTTCCTCCTTGAATTACTTTACTCGTGAGTCCCAGTTTAGCCCCAATCCATGCCGCGTGAGCGGCGCGGGGGATACGCTCGGCGATGAGTTTAATCGTGTTTTGGGCATGTCGACAAGTCTGACATCTACCGCTGCTAAATCCTCCAATCTGAAGAACACAGTATTGCTAATCGCTTTCATCGTCTGTAATGTCTTGAAATTGTCAACGGTCGCTAATATCTTCTGCAGAAACACTCGAAATTGTCAATGGTCAGTATTTATCATTGTCTGCTACTACCGTGTGCAATGTTGATATTGATTGTCAAGTAATCATAGTTTTGCCGCGATTTGTTCCTTGGCGGAAAGTCTGTATTTTAGATATGCCTGACCTGAACACCGTTAGGATATTTTATGGCCAGAATGTGGCATCATATTATGGCCGCTATTTTATGGTGCTAGCGACTACAGTTTCAGAAATTTGCGATCTTTTTTGGCAATTTTCGTTACCATGGAAACCGTTTGAAACTTGTTTCGGAAATGTCGGCTGGGGTTTCGGGATGGGTCCTAATCTCTCATGAAATTTTGCGATTGGTGTGATTTTCACCAGCTATAAATAGCTGAAAACAGCGGGAACGAACCCGATTAACAGCGCATGTCTACGACAGCTGGACGTCCTCTGTTTTTCTGTTACATTAGTTTGATTGAAAATAGCGATAAGTATTCACGGTTGGCTTGAGGCTTTAACTGTTACTCGACATGGTAATGCTATTTATAAATGAATTCTCCGTCCAATTTTACATTTGTGTATAAAATTTTTTTCTTATCAGTGGCTAGTTAGATTTACAGTGACATTTTTCAGGCAATCGCTATTATGTGGCTGTGTCTGAGAAAAATTGTCTGCCATCTTGTCCAATGAAAACAAAGCCAAAACGAAAGTTGCGCAGTTTGGTTGCGCAGAGAAAACTTCTTGTTTCTCAGACACAAGTTTTCAACAGCTGTTTTTTACATCTCATCTCATGCGCAGAGAAAACTTCTTGTTTCTCAGACACAAGTTTTCAACAGCTGTTTTTTACATCTCATCTCATGCGCAGAGAAAACTTCTTGTTTCTCAGACACAAGTTTTCAACAGCTGTTTTTTACATCTCATCTCATGTGCAGAGAAAACTTCTTGTTTCTCAGACACAAGTTTTCAACAGCTGTTTTTTACATCTCATCTCCACAAAAACCTACATATCTCAGCTCAGAAATGAGAAATGACATACAAGCCTAAATGAGGTACCGTTGGAAAGAGATTGTTTACAGCTATCTAACTCACTGTGCTGTGTAGAGGGCATTTTTAAAATTTGACTGAAGTATCTAATGGTGCCGTTCCAAGTAGAGCCCACTACTTTTATTAATTTAAAGAGCTCTTAAAACTTTTTAATGATGTTAAGGAGAAGGGTAGGGGCAGAAAATGGAAAAAAGGGAAGCTGTTAGAAGACATAAGAGTAAGACGCAGAAAGAAGTGCTGGGGAAGAGGTGTTGCTGACCGTTACTGAAAGTTACTCGCTTGCAGAAGTAAGACAACAGACACCAGCGAGGAAGATACACAATTCTCTGCATTAATTTTAATTAGGACGAATAACAGAAACTAGAATGTGCATTAAAACATTTCTTACATCATTCTCAAAGTCGACATTGATCTTATTTCCAGAACTGATGTACAAGCGAGGAAACGATTCCTGCACAACGTCGGCCGCAGCTACTCGGTCTGCATAGCAGCTATGATAGCTAGCCCGGATCGGATCATCCACAAACAGCAAATCTAACAAATCATTTCGATGTTTAGTCGGTAACTCATTCCACTGGTTTCCAAGATGTTTTAGAAATGTTTTTTCCTCAGCTAGAATTCGTTTACTGATGTAACTTGTGCGGGAAAAGTAACCGAAAGCAGCTCTCTGCAAGTCTACAGCAGACGTGTCCGCCATTTCCATCTTGGTGTGTCCTAAATTAGCCAATGATCAGCATTACGCCGGCCGTCTTTACTTCCACAGGACAGCCATCCTGGTACTCATTTTAGGCTAGGTCGACCTGTGATGCCCCCTACCATGATAAAAATCCACGCAGCCAGCATTGGGTTTCGATCGCAGTACGTCGGAATTACGAGTGAAGCAAATCGATACTTTTGGTAAAGTCCGTTCCACAAGTCATTACCAACTTTAAAAATCTGCAACTCAACGTTTCAGCATGCAATTTCTAAATGATCATGCACACGTTTCATACGCATCTCACTCTTAGGTGGTAATTTCTAGCATGAAGGGTAAAGAATGCACATGCCATCTTTGAAGAAGTTTTCCCTAAAGATAAATTCGGGGAGAATCAACGATTTCACTAAGGGAATAGTAAATTCCACATGTTAATAACACAATGTTAATAAGACTGTCTAATTATTCATAGTAGTCTCAATGATAACCGTACTCAAATCAATGCAGTATGTAAAACAATACAAATTACATATCAGTCATTTAAATAATTACGTGATACATAAATATAAAACATATACATACTCTGAAAAATCAACTAACAATACATAGCCCAATTATAACTATGAGGGTTGAACAGGATAGTCTTGAAAAATAACTACTACTATCTTTAGCATGAGTCTCCCATAAGTTGTTGATTTTTTCACTGCAAGCTTTATATCAAAATAAACATCACCACATATCGCTGAGCACGTGAAATAATTTCCAAACAATCCCGCGGCGTGTATATTCTATTTTTAAATGTACATAAATTAGCAGTCGCATGAACGAAGATCAAAGAAATTCGCCGCTCTAATAAAACAGCAGCACCTGTGCAATTAAAAATAATAAAATTATAAGCATATGGACTAAAATGGTTGGGCATATTGAAAGAATGTCAGATGACAGAGAAGTGAAAACTGTATACACAAGGGAGATGAATGGTCATAGACCACGAGGCAGACCAAGAAAACTATGGAGAGTTAATGTCCAGACATACCTTCAAACACTTGGTGTCACCAACTGGGAAGAGAAGGCAAACCAGAGAGATGAATGGAGGCGGGTGATATCTGCAGCAATGAAACTCAAAGATTCGGAAGGCTGAAAAAGAAGAAGAAGAAGAAAAAGAAGAAGAAGAAGAAGAAGAAGAAGAAGAAGAAGAAGAAGAAGAAGAAGAAGAAGAAGAAGAAGAAGAAGAAGAAGAAGAAGAAGAAGAAGAAGAAGAAGAAGAAGAAGAAGGAATGGGAAACCAAAGGCAACATGCACAAATTCGTCTTGATCTGTACTGGAGTTTTCGAGATATTTGATAAAGTGTGAGGGCATGGTTTTTGAAACGTACTATACAATGATTGATGTTTTGGTACGTTTGAGAAATTGTGCATCAATATTTCAAAGTGGGCATATTATGCTGAATCCAATAAGTGAACCTATATCAGTGGCCATGGCATGTCTCAGCTTGATTTGAAAAAAAAAAAATTGAATGAACAAAAAAATTTAGAGTGGAGGGCAGTAATCAATGCAAGATCAACCACCTAGTACTAAAAACAAAAAAGCAAAAAAAAAAAAAGTGCTTTATAATTTCAAAAGAGCAATGTGGAGATAAAAATAGTTTTTCATTAGTATCAAAATCCATGCTTAGTCTTTTGGCACTATATCATTCCCCTGCAGCTGCAGAAAGAGTTTTCTCTGGTTAACCATATGTATGTTTTTTTAATCGCTGTTTTTTAAAGACTTCATCAAAACAAAACAACAACAAAACCTCATTGATGAAATCAAAGTTATTGATCTTGAACAGTGTTTCTCAAAAGTGAAGTCCACGCCCCACAGGAGGCAAAGTGATCATTAATGGGAGAGGGGCATTTTGATTGTTAAGGGGAGCAGTTCGAAAATGGACTCGCCCAGAGTTTAAGTTACATAGAAGGCATGCAATTTTTAAAAAGGCTTACGTGGGCATGGCGAAATAAATTTTGGGAAACACTGGTCTGCTAATTAATTTAACTAACTGGAAGCCGCCTTTACATCTTTCTAACAAACTGAGCGAAAAAAAAACATTGCAGCAATCATCGAATAGACATAATTTTAATTCTGGTCAACTAAAAGATTAGCCAGTTTATGTATGTATGTATATGTATATATATATATATATATATATATATATATATATATATATATATATATGTGTGTGTGCGTGTGTTCGTGGGTGTGCGTGTGCGCGCGCGTGTGTGTCTGTGTCAAGACATTTTAACTGCTTTTAATTAAAACTTTACAGTGTAATACTTTTGGTGTCGTTTGGTACCTTTTCAAAAACAATTTGGTACACTTTCCACAAGAATTTCGGCAGCCCTGTGCAATAGTCTTTCTGGAAACTTCTGGCGAAACTGCGTTTGTTATTGTCTCTGCAACTAATTATCTTGTTTTGTTTTAAATTAGCCAATCCCCTGGGCTCTGTGCCCAACAGGCTGCCATGCACAAGGGGGCAGCAGCTAGTCCAAGGACGTCTCTGTTGGAGACGGCCTTGACTAGTCCTTTTGAAACTTCTGGCTAAATTAAATCGGCCCTATCCGGTCTGGATGGAGCCACCGTGGTATAGTGGTTAATTCAATTTGGATTCGAAGATTGTGGGTTCAGTTCCTGACGGAGCCAGAATTTTTTCGAAAAGGAACTTGGCTACCGGGTGGACCCAGCCTCAAATGGGTACAATTTAAAGTCCTTTGAAGTAAAGGCGGTCGGTATGATGTTGAACACATCACCCACAGAGTGCCGATTGGTCTATAAAATATAGGTCTAACCCTATATGCCCAATACGAGGTATGAGTTAGTTACGAGTTAGATGATATTCACAGCACTACGGACACATCTATAGGCGCTTAGATTCCCATCTCAACATATTCATAAGCGTCGTGAGGTTAATAGTGCCAGTCCTATGTTGGTTAACGAGACTTCGTGTGCGTCCGGTGTGCTTCTCATGCTTGGCTGTGCGATCTTTACTGCCAATTCTCTTATTCTTAGCAGTGTTGCTGACACGTTGCTTCCAAAATCCTCAGAACGTCCTATCTTTCTAAGGGTAATGATAATGTCTGCGTGATCAATAGGCCGGCCATCTTCAATTAATGCAGCCCCTGCCATTCTATAAGCTCTTTCATTACCGACGCACCTGCACACACAGGATTGTTTTGCAATGACTCAAACCACTGTCTGCGTATGGAACCTGCCTCGACCCGTAGGAGCATGCTCAAAGAATCACTCAGCACACACACGCAGGAATAGTCCTATAATTATAACCACATGAAAGCTTGTGTCACCACCATTAACTCCATCGTCATGCTGCTGTGGGTCATGGAGAAGGCACCGCTTGCTTCTTGAACTATTCTGCCTGGCGAGCGAGCTGTAAACGCCTATGCGCTCTTATGTCCTCGTATAACGGACCCGTCTGTGGAAATCACCATATATGTCTCATCTGTCTTGTCACTGATAAGCGCTCATACCTCGGCTTTGACAGCAGCTGGATTCTGCTCCCGAAAACTCATGTGGAGTGTCACGACACAGAAGAATGTGAGATTGGGCGCTTTAGACGCTGTTATCCATTCCTCACCTGGATGGATATCTGTAAGGCTGCAGACCTGCATGATGTCATCCTCTGCCCTACCCAGCCATGATTTTCCTCTTTTAAGCCTATTGCCCTTTTTCTTGAAGAGCATGTGGCGCAAAGGGTGCTTCAGATCTGAGCTTATCTTGAGGTATACACGAGCCCTCCATATCTTGATCCTGTAGTTCATGGTAGGGAAGTCAAGAAGGTACCTCATTGCTACACAAGAGGTGTCTCTTGTGCACCCCAGAATAATGCGCATTGCTTCGTTTTGCACCTACTCTTTCAGTCTATGGCTGACAGTTAGGATGGCCAGAGCATATTCAATAGGAGAAAATACAAGTCCCAGGAACAGAAGCAGAAGCAGTCTCTGCTCAGTGTTAGCGGCGGCCAGGCCCCTCATTTCTGACAGGCCTTTGCGTGCTTTTGTTATAACATGGTCAACATGTTGTTTGAAGGACAGGCTGCGATCAAACCTCACTCCGAGGTATGTCATCATATTTGTTCTCGTCAACATTTCCTCGCTGCTTTCCACTGCTGGTAAGTCTGCCTTCATTATTTGCGTGTTCAAGGAGAAACACGTTACTGAGGCCTTCAAAGGACTGACATGAGCATTAGAATCCGCATACCAGGAGAAGATGCGATCAAGTTCACTTTGCATTGAAGTGGCAATCTCTTGGCGATCTCTTTCGTGTCTATATACTAAGAGGTCATCAACAAATGACAAGGTCCTGCCACTCCCATGCAACTGCTGCTGTTATCAGAACTGTGTACGCGTTGAATAGAACTGGAGACAGCGGAGAACCTTGAGGCAATCCTGGACTGATGGTTATCAGTTCTGAGGACCAAGAACTACACCTTAATATCACCCGTCTCTGAAACAGTGCTGCGGCTATCCAGCAGATGATGAAGGAAGATATTTGCAGTTGGAGGAGTATGTGCACTAAGTATTCAAATGGTACTCTTTTGTACGCATTCTCTAAGTCTAGTTCAGCTGCACATGTCTCTTCTCTCATCTGAAAACCTTCATAGACTTCACAGGCGAAGACTGCTGCTATGAGCCATGTCTCTTTGTTTCGACTGTATCCCTCAAGTGTGGATGGTAACCTGTCATGCTTTTCCAAGTCATCAGCGAGTCTACGTGCTACAATTTTCTCCAGAAATGGTTCTATAGCCCTTTCTGATTTGACCACTTCTGATGCTGACGTTGAACTCTCTTGCCAGTTCTGACATTTCGTCATCTGACATCTGCAGCATATCAGCATACTGGATGCCGTTGGGGCCTAGTGAGGTTTTGGGCGATTTCTTAAGTTTTGCCCAATACGTCTGAAAGCTTAGATAAGGGTCATTTGCTTTACTTAATAGATGCCAGCAGCTGTGCCTCAGCCCAGCAGGTCCTTCTGGAAACGTCTGGGGAAATTAAGTTGATCGTGGTGTCTGTCCGCCTCTATGTTCTTGTTTTGTTCTGTGCCAAACAGACTGTTTCTGGAAACTTCTGGTGAAATTCTTGGTTAGCCCTACCTATCTTAATCGACATCAATGCACACTCGGCATTCCCATGTGTGTTTAGGCCCCGACGCAGCAGCCACTCCAATGAACCTGTAGAGAGTGTTCCCATGAGAGGTTGGTTACAGTGTCTCCTGTCTTGACCTTAAAGACCTCATAGACGTGCTTCACTAAGGGTTTTTCATATTTAGCGACCACATCAGGCGAGATTTAGGGGAAATTAAATATTATAGGGGGTTAGTGTTTGTGTTAAATGAATGGCGACTACTACTAACCCTAATGTCCCTATAATATGGGCTTCCCCTAAATCTTCGCTTTATGTGGCCGCTAAACAGAAAAGAACCTCACTAATTTCTAGTCTGTACTCTTCACTTTGTAGCTAACGGGGTCCATTATATAACCTTACCGTTGAAACGGGTTAATGGGATTTGTAACTAAAGGATTGTCATCCGAATAATGACACTTTGTGGTAATTGATCAGTGTGGGGTGGTTCTAAAGGGGGTTCTGGCGAAACTGCGTTTGTCGTCTTCTATATCCACAGCCTTCTCTCTCGTGTATAATTTCGAATGTATAATGTTTTTCCATGCTATTTGTAGTAGTCTACTTATACTTCATATCGCGTGACGTTGGTAGTCTTGTCTGTCCACAACCTTCTGTATGTTTAGTCGTTCTTCTTTCTTTTCTCCTACCGCTTATGAAAATTTTAATTATAGCTGTTTTCTTGTTGCAGTGATTTGATTTAATTTGATTCAAGAACCGACATCACAGCACTCGGGGCATTCCCATAAGCGCTCCGTCCCCATCTTCAGGAGCCAGCGAGGAGCTCCGATACTAATGGTGCCAGTAGCTCTCGTCACACCCCGCTGCATCAGTGTCACCAGTCTGTGGTGATCCATCTGCTCCTCCGAACTGTACACGCTCTCCCACAAGTCACTAACCACGTTGGCCTTATCATGCATCAGTATTCCACCAAGTTGTGCAGAACCAGCCACTCTGTCTGCCTGTTTATTTCCTAACACACCGGCGTGACCCGGTGAAAAAAATCCAGACCGTATTCCTCACCCGTGTCCTCCACAATGAAGCATGCAACTCTGCACGAAGCATGCCTGCCCTGATTTTCCTCAGCATGCTTTCTGAATCAGTTACAATCACAATGTGTGCGTGTGGTGTGTGTGTGTGTGTGTGTGTGTGTGTGTGTGTGTGTGTGTGGTGTGTATGTGTGTGTGTGGTGTGTATGTGTGTGTGTGGTGTGTTTATGTGTGTGTGTCTCTGTGTGAGAGTGTGTGTGTGTGTGTGTGTCGTGTTCTCTAACCAGCGGAAAGCTGCAGTGACCACCGCCACATTCATTCTTAAGCTGGGTGTTGTAGTATCATATGCACCAAATGTCGACAATTAACTTTTCCTAAGAAACCCCAAGCACTTATTTTGCCTCTTGACACTGAACCGTTTGTGTAAATAATCCAATTCTCTGAGCGAGCTAATGAAATGTAAATGATCACGAGACATACAAGGTCCGACAATTAAGAAATGAGACTGACTTTATTATGGCCAAGACAAAAAATGTCATCTATGAATCAAAGCATTGAATCCAAAGAGGCAGCCTTCATCTATGATCTGGCAACTTTTTATTGCCGCTCGATAAGCAGACAACAAACAAGCTGCCATTTCGTTAACATAGTTAGAGGTGCATTGTTAGGTAATCAGCATGGAGCAAAAAAAGTTAACATTAAATTCTGTTTAAAACTCAGAAAAAGTCGCCATTTTAACAGTTGAACTGATGCAACAAGTTTATGGGGATAATTGTTTTATCTTATGCACACATTTTCAGCTGGTATTCACGATTCAAAAGTGGTGTAAAAATTCTGACTATTGCAACTAGACATGGATGCCCAATTTCTGTTCGTAATGAGGAACTAACTGCAAAATTCCGAGAACAGATACAAGAAGATCGTGGCTCGATTGTGAGGACGATGGTAGATGAATTTAATTTTAATACAGAGACTATTCGTAAAATTTTAGGGAAAGATCTGGGCAAGAAAAAAGTTGCCTCCGGTTTGTATTCAACACCTGGCAATTTGTTTCTTTCTTCATGACAATGCACCAACTCAAAGGGCGGTAATTGTACGAGTGTTCTCAACCATCCACCCCGTTCCCCAGATTTGTCTCCCTGTGACTATTTTCTATTCCCAAAATTAAAGTTGCCATTGAAATTATACTTCTTTTGACGATATTGATGACATCCAAAGGGCCGTAACATCGACTTTAAGGGCCATAACGAAAGAAGAATTACAGTGGTCATTCCAGTGTTTGTTAGATTGTGCCACTCGCTGTATCAATGCACAAGAGGCTTACTTTGAATAAACTACAGGTTATATCTTCAACTTTTGATTATGTTAATTGTTAGGGAAATAGTCGCATTTCTTAATTGTCGGACTTAGTACCTAGATTAGCATGAGACTCTCGGGCAAGTTCCCTGCACGCCCATCTGATAAGATATTAATATCTTCAAAATTTGTCTATTTTTAGGACGACATTTTTTGTTATTTGAAGCCCCACCCTGGCTTTTGCCAGGGGCCGCAATATAGGCAGGCCATAAATATGGCCAATTGTCTGAACGCGGTTTCTGGGACCTCTCCACGGCGATCCTCATCCACATGGTGGCACTTTGTGTCATCGGGTGTTTATCGCTTGTGTGATGTCATAGTGGGGTAGAAAGTCAATCAATCATGATAAGATACCATATTATTTTCCTTGCGTCCTTTTCAGGACGTAATTTTTTTGTTATTTGAAGCCCCACTCTGGCTTCGGCCAGGGGCCGCAATATAGGCAGGCCATAAATATGGCCAATTGTCTGAACGCGGTTTCTGGGACTTCTCCACGGTGATCCTCATCCACATGGTGGCACTTTGTGTCATCGGGTGTTTATCGCTTGTGTGATGTCCTAGTGGGGTAGAAAGTCAGTCAGTCAGTCATATCATGGACCCAGTATATTAGGGGTGTAAAGTGAGTCCCTAATTTAAACCAAAAAAAAAATCCTATCTACGTCTTTAGACATATTTGGCATATAGGGCTATACCTATATTTTACAGACCAATCAGCACTGGGTAGGTGTCGTGATTAGCATAACAGCAGCTGTGTTTACTTCTCTTGACTTTGCCTGGTATCCACATAAGGCTGGGTCGACCTGAGAGCCAGTCTAAAAAAAAAGAGAAATGTCGGTGCTTTATTAACACCCTACCCCAAACAGAGGAAATCCACAGGTCGCGTGACAGTCTAATATTTCAGGGAGTGGTAGATAGGCTGCATGCAGTTGTGGGACCTAGGTTACATGCAGTCGTGGGACATATGCTGCACTCTCTCGTATGACGTAGGTGAGTTGGGGTTAGGGCCAGTAATAGATGTATTGGGGTCGTTAAAAGCATCAGAAAGCCTGAAAACCCAGTCTTAGCACCCTCTAAAATGTTGGACTACCCTGTGACGTCATCTGGGTGGTAGGACATGGATAAAGAACCGAAATGTCCGGCTTCGTCAGGACCGGAACCCACGACATTCCGATACGCAAGCGAGTGTCTAGCCCCTACACCACGGAGGCTTTCGCAATTTGTACCAAAGTTAGTTAGGTAAAGAATTGACATCACAGCACTCGGGGCATTTCCTTGCATGCTCCGTCCTCATCTTCAGCAACTAGCGCAGAGTTCCAATACTGATGGTACCCGTCAAAAACTGTTTATAAGTCCGTCTCGCCTTTCCTCTCAGTGTAGCGAGTTGGCCAAACCCTCTGGTTACACACCGTTGCCTCATTCTCTCCAGGCCATAATAATCTTGTTTCTCTACTGATTCCGTTACTTATTGACAACATCTGCCCTGTCATGCATCAGTTCACCACCCAGTGGTGCAGATCCAGCCAATCTGTCTGCTTGTTTATTACCCACTACGTCGACATCACCATGAGAAAAGATCCAAAGTATGCTCACTACCCGTGATCTTTCCAGTGAAGCTTGCCACTCTGCTCAAAGCATCCCTGTCTTGACCTTTCTCAGCATACTTTCAGAGTCAGTTACAATTACGACATGTGTATGCATTTTGTTCTCTAGCCACCTGATAATTCTTACCTTAGAAACGCACAAATACCAACGTAAGAACCCCTGATCTGTACTATGATCCAACCCGCTCTCCCCGTTTCTACGCCTACGACAAGAACTGATCTCCGGCGGCGGAAGAGCTCGCCAACACAAAAGTGAACAAGTTATTGTTGCAGATGCAAACAGAAGCAGACGCCTTGTTCATCTCTTCTCCTCGCTAACTTGGACAGTTTGTTTTTGTTGTTTATTTCAAGTGTATCATCATGGATCTAAACGGAATAGGGGATGTTGATACGGAGGACAGTGCAGTAGGTAAGTTATTTCAGCGTTTATTATTTTTTTTTAGATTTGTAATTGATTGGTGTCAGTTCTGTTCAGGTGTTTTAATTTTGATTTTAGTCTACGAATTATTGATATTGTTTATATGCTATTATAATTTTTTAAATCAGAAATAAGTATTATTATTAATCGCTGACCAAAATAAAATAGTATTAAAAATATTATTACTAATATTTTAAACGAGCTGTTGAGTTCAGATTTTGCAGTCTTTCACTGGTGTTCGGGGCTTCCTTCCCTCTCCCCTCAGAACAGGGGCCGTACTCACCACTGAGTTTCTTAAACAGGTGCCGGTACTTACCACTGTCTTAAACAAGTGTCGGTACTCACCGCAAAGTGTCTAGTACTAGTACAGTAGTGCTAAAAAAAAAAGATGCCTTATAAAAGGTGCAGGTACCGTGTACTGTTTACCACCAGCAGAAAGCCCAGGTTATTGTAGAGAACAGTTGTGATTGCTACTAAAATAATAATACTTGCGAATGTCTAGTTCTGTGACCATATTAATTTAGCATAGAAATAGTACTCTGCACAATGTAGTAACTGAAATACACAGCAGCCCTAGCAAAATTTGTGTTATAGTATTGAATAGTGAAGAATGAGAAAGAGTTAGAAGAAGATGAGCCAAGACCTCACTGTCTCAGTTTATCACAGCTTTGCTCATTCGGCACCAACCAAGCAGTCAAGTTACATTAGCTCATTATGGAACAGGACTGCAGTCCAAAAGTGGATGAACAACCAGAACTTTCCACCAGAGTTTACAGCTGGTAAACACGAAGAAGAAGAAGATTTAAAGAATTTGTTAAGTCAGGAATTTTTATTCTGGCAGTATGTATGAAGTGCCGGCATCATTTTTTTCAACACTATAGTAATAGACACTCTGCGGTGAGTACTGGCACTTATTTTAGACATTTTGGGTGAGTCGTCATTATCAAGTGCCCTGCACACTGGCATGTGAGATCATGCCTCTCCACAGTCTGCATTCTTCAACAGTATGTATCACTTGTGTGTTGACACCCCTCTATAACATGACAAAAGGCTATAAAGAATCTTTTCACATTATCCCATGACAAAAGGCTATAAAGAATCTTCTCACATTATCCCATGACAAAAGGCTATAAAGAATCTTTTCACATTATCCCATGACAAAAGGCTATAAAGAATCTTTTCACATTATCCCATGACAAAAGGCTATAAAGAATCTTCTCACATTATCCCATGACAAAAGCTATCAAGAATTGTCTCACGTTGTCTTTCTCTGTCACCTTTTCCACAGATCTTCCAGTGGTCATAACATGTTCAAGCTTCCTTCACCTCAAAACATGACCAATAAAAATTATGTCTCCTTCAAATGTTTATGTTGTCTTTGACCCTTGCCTCTTTTAAAACATCTGGGTTGCACTGTTTGGCTCTGAGAGGAATTCTTCTCTAAAACCATTTTCTGAGGCCTCAAGAAATTATTTAGCTTTTGTTTACTAAATGTCTAGGATTCACAGATATAACATGTCTCTACAAGAACATATTTCTTTAAAAAAAAAGTGCTATAAGTAATCAACATTTTGGTCAGATGAGATAAGATTATAGCACTATGAGACAGCAGAAGTTACAAGGCAGAATAGGAACAGGGGGTCAATGTAGTCTTCTTCGGTTCTTTATTAAAATCCTACCCCAGATGACGTCACGGGACAGTCCAACATTTGAGAGGGTGCTAAGACTGAGTTTCCCGGCTTTCTGATGCTTTTAACGTCACCAGAACATCTAGAACTGGCCCTAACCCCAACCCCAACCCATCTATGTTCCACGAGAGAGTGCAGCCTAGGTCCCACGACTGCATGCAGCCTATCTACCACCCCCTGAAATATTAGTCTGTCCCGTGACCTGTGGACTTTCCCTGTTTGGGGTAGAATATTAATAAAGCACCTCTTCTTCTTCTTAGCGCTCACCAGCTGTAAACTCAGGTGGAAAGTTCTGGAATTGTTCGTATGCACATAATTTTTACAGATCTGGCTTATTTAAATGCAATTGGTTCCTTGCCTCTCAGGCAGATGCTCTCAGACTTCAAAGGATTAGTCACTTTTCACGGCATGCTTGATAGGAGGAGCAGTGAATCTATTATTCTTTCCCCCAAAATGGAGCCCCGGAATCCACATGAGGAAGGGGAGTGTAGGAATTAGATGGGTCACAAGGAGTTCAGAAAAGTATATCAGGTCACTCTGAAACTAAAATAACCCTTTCACATCAAAAAGCCCCAAAACAAAAAGCAGCACTTCATATATGTGCTGTGCAATGCAAATGCAGCTATAGTGACTCTTCTTCTTCTTCCTCTTCTTCTCTGTGTCCTCTTTTACCACTTTTGGTATCAAGGTTGATATAAGGTCCTACTTGGTGTTCTTCTGGCTGCCTCGACCATAGACACATCGTGGGTCTGTAACGGCTTGTTTATGAAAATCCTCACTAAGATAATTGATTCGCCAATGCTTATAATTAAAAAAATAAAATATTTGTGGGTGTTTTTGTGTGATAAACTGGCTTTATTTATAGAAATTACAACGTTATGATTTTCTGTTAGTCACAGTGGTCTCCAGCGGCCATGTTGCAGGGGGTAAAAAAAAAAATCAGCCGCAGTATTAAATTGATCTAAGCCCCGGAAGATGTAACCTAGTTGATACTCTGCTGCATTCCTTTGTACTGATGACTTCATTACATCAGTGTGTAATTTTTGTTTGTTTATGTCTGAAAATGGATTCATTAGGAATTTTTGTTTGAACTGTGCTAAATGTTTGTTTTTTAGAAGGATTTATTTTTTGGGAAAACCTGAAGTTCCAGAATATTGGGTTCTTGGCATTTTTTCTTGGTCATCGGGGCGAAAGGGTTAAACTCATGTTGAGTTGCTTTGTACTGCAGTTGGTAGTTTTAAACTGATTTTTTTAGGACTGCAGGATGTAACAAATTCTCAGCAGAGAGGTACGATTAATTCACATATGTAAGATTTGCAAGTAACGATTACACTGGAAGGGGTATGGCATATTTTCATCCTCAACACTGTGTTGTTGGGAATTTGCCTTCTCAGCTAGCATTGTAATACTAGTAACTGGTAGCTTTGGCACATTACAGTAAGCACACATTGAGCGTTCTTTTTACTTTGTTTGAGTCCTAAACTGAGTGATGTATTTTTTAATAAATTATTAACAGTTATAGTAAATAAATTTTTCTCTGGTAGCTGAAAGTGTAAGGGACTGTTACAGCCATTACATCTTACCTCCTTTACTGCAAATACTACGATGCCTCGTTACTGCAAATACTACTTTACTGTAATATGGTGGCAGATATGGACCTACTGTTCTTCTTAGAGAAACCTGATTACCTTTAAAAGTGAACATTCACCAAAACCCAGCTGCTGCTAAACTTCTACTATCTTAACATACTCAGTGTGCTCGCAGAGCCTTCTGTTAAAAAAGAAAAATCATCATCTGAGAAGATGTGACCTTCATGTTATGGCCCTGATGGGTTGAACAACGGATCAATATCATGGCACAGGGGTAGTAACCCATAAGTGCTCTGTTCTACTTCTAACTCAAGCCTGAGTCCAAAGAATCTCAGCACAGTGCTCAAACTCCGTAGCACTGGTGAGACTCCTGAACTACGTTGGGTATATTTTTAACTCTAAATTTTTGTAAATATGAAGTTTGTTCAATGTCAAAGAATGAATGTGAAATATAACATTCTCAAGTTTCATTTATTGTGAGGATTCTTGGGAAAACTAAGATGTAAAGAGAGTTGCAGAAAGTTTTTAAAAAAAGGAAAGACACAAGCTAAGTATTGTGGCCACATAAAAAGACAAGACTGTTCCCAAAACAAACTGGAGAGAAAACTCAAAGGCAGGGAGCAAGAGGTGGGCAGTGATACAAGTGGGAGGACAACGGCAAGAGATGAAGAACAGCAGTCTGAGAGACAAGAGCTACAGATTGTTGGAGATCCATTGCAGACAACCTTTACTGTGGAGACAGCATCTAATTTATTGATTTTATAGTGACAATATGATTCCAAGGCTTTTGAGGGGGGAGGGGGGGGGGTGGGTGGGTGTGTTAGTCTGCTTGCAAATAAACCAAACCTGTAAAACAGATGTGCACACAAAATTCAAGATCTGGAACAAGACCAAAGTCTAGAAATGGATGAACAACCAGAACTTTCCACTAGAGTTTACGGCCAGTGAATATGAAGAATAAAAAGAAGAAATGGGAGGCAGACTGAAATAATTTCAATACATATGAAAGAAGGATATGAGCAGGCATGATGATAAACATTGCTCCACATTGGCTTAGAATTTTGCATATGTTCACTGGAATGCAAATTTTGTAGTCAAAATTTATTCAGCTGTCTCTGTATCCATAAGTCTCCAGTAATCATTGACACATGACCTGCATGCCATGTGGTACCCCCCACAGTTAGGCAGCAGGGGTCTTCGTCTCCCATGTGGAAAGCTTATATTACAGTGTAGTAACAGGTGGAAGGATGAAAGTAATGAGTTATTACACCTACAAACTCTGTGCAGTTACATATGATAAACTTTGTTAACGCTCACAGCATGCAAGCATTTATCACAATATCTTTAAATGTTTTTATTGAAGACTACTTTTCGCTGTATTGTACGAAAATGAGGAGAACAGAAGTGGCCACTAGCATTACTAACGTCTTCTCCTTGACCTTCTTCTTCTCCTCCTCATCCTCCGTGCCGTTCTTCTCTTCAGTTGCTTCATAGGAAGGAGAAATGGACCGCATGTTCGCTCTTTTAATGTGCTGCATGAGTTGGTCATCTTTTCTTTAAGACTGTTCTTGTTGCTATTCTTTCCTTTTGCATGGTCTTCCCTTGATGTGCAAAAACAAATCATATACTGGGACAGCTAACTACACCTTTGACACATCAAAGGATGCCCTAAGTCTACCAAGGCAGATCTAATCAGATCTGTACATTGGCTAAC